GTTCCTTTGATCTATCCTAGATCTTCCCCGGATCTTTGGCATCCATGGGGCCCAAAGAACATGTGCACTTTTTCTTACACCAAGCCACTAATCCGCTCCATCAATGTTGTCCATTTTCGGCTCATGCTAATCAACGGGTAGAGGGAAAATAACTCGGATAACTGGACTCGACCATACCGCATTAAGCTCTAATGATTTAAATCTAGATCCACTCAAGAGTTCGTCCTAGCAGCTTGATAGGGGTAAAAAAAAAAAAAAGATTTACAGATGTCTCGTTCCAAGCGTAAGTCAACGGGAACCAGCTATTGTTATGCCCAAATGACATCACTGACACGAGAATGTAATACCACCTTTTAGCCACTTTTATTTAAAGCCTGACACACTTCCTTGGGGCTTCCAGAAACTGCCACCAATCAGCTGCCTGCACTGCACACTCATGGTCATGCTATGCCAGCAATGATTAGCTTATGTTCATCCAATAATGTGTGCCAGAGAGCTGTCTGTCCTCTTCTGCCTCTGTCACTGCTGAAGGACATTACAACCCAGACATGACAGTCAAAAGATGCAAGGGACACAGAGGAATCGAGGGATGAAACAGAAGTGAACTAGATGCAGATATACAGTATAACCAGATTGGGAAGAACGCCAGAACATTGTCCAGAGCTGATGAAGCAGTGAGTTCAGATAAGAAGCCCTATTATGGAGGCTGGCATTGATGTTACACACCACGACCAGTCGCTGACTTCCCAGAACTTCCGCCAACGTGCTCTATTTAGGATGGGAGGGAAATGTATTGCTTACATGAAGAAGTCATTTCTCGTAAATACACCACTCCTCCTCCTTTCCCCTCTCTTCCTGCTTGTCTCCTCTGGATGGAAAAAAAAAATCAATGTGCATCACATCCATTACCCAACCCTTGCACTGCTGTCTCCCTATCTCTCTGTCTTTCTCTCATTCTCTCTTCTTTACTTTGTTCCTTTTTTGTCTGCTTAAGCACAAGACATCGGCATATTAATGAGGTATCTTTCAAACTGATAAGTAAATTACACATTTTGAAAGTGTAGAGGATGTGAGAAGGCCTTTTAAACTCAATTAGGCATTACGACATGTGATATCTGATAGAATTCTCATTTCATTTATATAACTGTCTCACAGTGGTTGAATAAAAGTTGATTATCGTCATCAAGACACGACCCATAATGGCTCTGTGATAGCTTTAACATCATATTTAATGTTTAACTTTATGTGCCATCCAACTTTTCCCCCTCGACAAATTGCATAACATAATTGATGATGGATTTCAAAGAGGTGAGCGAGTCTGAAACAGTGACGTGATGACAGTTCTTTAGGGATTCTAGGTAACACATGGCCTATTCTGCCTCTCTTCTGATTATGGAGAGTAACCGCCGTGCACTGTGCTTCCCCTGGACAAGTGAGGCTTACAAATCACCCCTGCAGCATTTGGAAGAGCTGGAGGAGTTGAAGGCACTGGGTGCAAGGTTTTACTGCCTGTCTTCTATGAATGGCTCCCTGAAGGCTCCTATGATAATAGCTCACAGCCGTGCCCTTCACGGAGCCTGACATCAAGCACACCCTACAGCAGAATGGAACGGCATATCAACTTACCCAATGGGGTGTCATATCAACTCATCCACTGGTTTCTGGTCATAACATCGGCAGAAGTTGAAATGAAGTCGAAGTAGCTGTCAGGTTCAAATTCACTCGGTTTGGACATCCGGCGAAAACTTTTTTAATGGTCCCCTGTTATTTTATTCAGACTATGAGATGGGAGAACATTTTTCCTGGCCATTACTCTAAGATACACTGTGTAGCACCAAGTGTGAGTTAGTATTTGGATGATGACCAAGTAGGCAAAGGGGTGTACTTGTAACTAAAATAGATAATGCATGTATGGTTATAAAAGGCAAGACAAGCAGTAAAGTCGATAAAAAAGGGAGTACAACACACACAAAAGAACAAGAAATGCTCTAGAAATGATCAGAAAAAACATTTGATACTGTAGGTGGTACTAAAATGGGTAATATATACATTGGTCATTTGTCAATCACAGACACAGTATGATAACTTACCACACAGGAGGCTCTGTGAGGCTGTATTTGAGCACACCTGTGGAGAATGGTATGCTAACATGCATATTTTGTTTACCGCTTTTGTGAAAAATGTTGCTTATTAACAGTTAACACAAAGTATGACTTAGGCTGATAGGAATGTCATATTTAACCAATAAAGTATAACAGGTATTTGGTCAAAAACAACTCAAATAAGTTGTTGTATGATGACGGGAATTCAGAACAATTTATTTCTGGACTGGGAAATGAGAACGCTGCCTTAAGTGGGATAAACAATTCTGTAATACAGTAGATGTTAATATGCTGATTAAATGCTCTGAACAACAACAAACATTTGAGCATGTTCTTCTCAGATTATAGCTTATACCTTAAGACTCAAAGCATATTGTAGTTGAAAGACCGACTTCCCAAATAGAGTCATGGGAACATCCAAAGGGCAATTGAAATCAACATTAGATTTGGTGGCTAGTTTAGGTAAGTTATCATATCAAGAAGGAGATGTAGTGAAACAGACTTTTCATGTACAGTATGTCTTCATGAGAACCAGTGAAGTCTCAGAGAGAGACCCGAAGAAAACACACAGTGCCAAGCAAAACCTCAAACTGTGTCACATGGTCCCGTTTGTTGCAAACCAACGCTCCCAGAATTGGTCTGAGTCTTTGAGGTAAGTAAGTGGTTTGAAAAACACACAAAAAAGAAAGGACATACAAAAAAGAGACATTCATCCATCCAGCCATCCATCATAACCGGTGCTACGGTGAAGCCAATTCCCACAAAGCTGCTAAGCTGATTGAGGCAGACCAAATCTGTTTCACCAGCTTACATTCCTTCAAAATGGCCATCTCACTTCCAATATCACGGGCTTTTACTGTTCCCCATTCCCCTGGCTCAGGCTGAGAGTTAGCAAGGCTTAGCTGGATGAAACACTCCAACAGCCCAGTTCTCCCCTGGAACCCACTGATATCTCTATAGCACAGCCTCTCCCCACATAGCTACACTTAGTTGCTTTATTTACTCATGTTATTATTTTGTGTCTCTTTAATTTCTCTTCCTCCATCAAATCATAGCAATATTAAAATCATTAGGGTGTAGACCAAAGATTTATGTGAATTCTGACGTTTCCAGGCACAATATAATCACAGCGTCAGTATACACACACACACACACACACACACACACACACACACGTTGGCCAAATGCACAGGCAGCACTTAACCACAACACCTTCTACTGGAGTAGATTAAATTTACACAAGGTCTCTTTGAAGAAGGAAATTGGACAGATAAGAAACAGGTTTCTATAAAAGAGGGGCCCTACAGATGGAGAGCAATGGAAATGTTTGTTCACATGCAAGCTTAGCATGTGCCACTGTACATAGTGTGATCATACACAGGATATTTATCAATCTTCTGTGTCATATTCCCCTCCCGCGATCGCTTTCTCTCCACCTCGCTCCCACACTTTCTCTGTCATTTTGCCACAGCAGCAAATATCCTGTTGGCCGGGCGGCAGACTGCATGCTGGTCTATCTGGCCCTGGGATCGATCAGGCTCCAAGCCGAGGCCTCCCATTCATCTCAGAGCCATAAAATGTGATTAGTGCCGACTACAGCACTGCAGGGAGATGGGCTGATCGGCCTGATAGCCTCAGATAGGCTGGGAAGACTACAGGAAGACAGCAGCAACAGCATGCTCTATTCATCCATGCCTTTTTCTCGCTCTCATTTTGTCAATATTTTACCCTTTTCTATCCTACTCTCTCTCTAAACTTTATCTCTCCTTTTTTGTTTGCCTCGTACCTAATCCTGACAAGCCTGTATGCGCACATGTTACACGGCAGCAGTTTACCTTCTTCTTATCCTGCTAAGTTTTCAAATAGAAGAGAACAAGCCTCCATCCCCCCGAAGCCACACTCACTGTACCCACATACAGTGTATCTCTGTGGCATGTGACCACCTCTGTCAGCCAATCACAGAGCTCAGAGCTCGCTAGTGGCAGAGTCAAGCTCGAAGGCTGTGACGAGAAAAGAGGAAGGAAATAGATGACTGCCTCGATTCTGAGGACGAACAACTTTTGGGGTGTTATGGGCACAAAATGGAATGCATTGAAATGTGTTAACGGATCTGCACAAATTGTATATGTAAGACATGGACTGTATAATATCGAATCATAGCACTATTTCAAAGTGGTAACATCTTCTGCTGACTGTAGACATCCAGTAGATGATCCAGAATATTATTTCAGAACGGAAACACAACCTGGTGTCCTATAAGGATCTTTAAATATATAAATGACTATGATAACTAATCATTTTTTGGGTACGAACCAAAAAAATGCCCTTTCAAAGCCTTGATTTGATTACAGATTGTTATAGTTGTCACGAGAAAATGCCGCATCTCATGGTACAGTCGTGGTACTGCCTTTTAAAGCAAGGCTTTTCTCTCATTAATACTGAAGCTATAGCTTATATCTTTATCAAATTGGATCTAACTAAATCTTGGCTTTATATAAGTAACATACCTTATACCAACAATGCAGCATATTTGCGGATACAGTAAGAGTATGACACTAGGGAAAGCGAGGTCTCAAAGCATTTAATCGTAACATTGTCTACATTACAATGCTTCTCATCGAGAGGTGAAGTGTAGAAGATAAGTTGGATGTGTTTGTTCATTAAAACAATCGTCAATCTTGCACACCACTGGCTTTAGTCATAGCCCGCCCTTATGAGAAAGGCCCAACCCATTGCAGAACGACAGGGCTTACAAGTGTTCCCACTAACAAGACACGAGTGTGGAGAAACAGAGCACTTGGTAGCTTCGGCTTAAATGTGCTTATTATGGAATAAAATATGAAAGTGGTAGAGAAGCTTTAGAGATTGTTAGTATCGGAGTACAAGAGATGTGCTGACCTGTGTCTCGCGGACGTTCTCCACGGTGAAGTTGAACCACACTCTGAAGCGGGGGTTGCAGGTGTCGGGTCGGATGAAGAGATCAAACTCAAACTCACTGATGTAGTCAACACGACCGAGGTTCCCTGCAGAGACAGAGAAACACAGTAGCATTAGGAACACTGGATCATTGGTGTCGCTATTCCGTCATGTAGTCAACTTAAAATGAGGTTTCATTCATGTGTTTTGTTCCCGTACTGTGAAAGAGGATTCATGTTCAAAAAGCTCTTTGTTTTTCTCATACCTCTGTACCTCTTTTCACCCTCTGTCTGAAACCAGAGCCCAGTCTGCTCTGATTGGTTAGCTGGCCGGCTTTGTTGTGATTGGTCAACCGCTTAGAGATGTCCCGCCCCTTAGCCTATCACGTACAATGTATTGGAGCGCTAGCCAATAGATGGAAAGTGTAACGCAGTGATGTCACTATGACGTTTAAAGGGGGGGGGGGGGAGAAACTTCCTCTGGAGGGAACACAGGGGTTTCAGCCTTTGCAGACCATTTACATGCACTACGATCTATTACACACTACAGGGAAAATAAAACTCAAAAACGCATAAAAGGGCATCTGTAAAAAAGATCACAAACATTGGGCTCAAGAGAATATGACGCTTAGACACAACGCAGACAATATATTACACAACATATGTTTTGGCTGATGCTGATGAACATGACTTACAATAACAGCAATCAACCATAAAGTAACAAACACAAAAAAGCAAGAGTCCTGCATTTAGATTTCAGTAAGCCAAAAACCTTTTAACCTGTTAAGCCCGAGAGGACCCTAATCCGGGTCTGACGGGTAGTTTTTTCACGAAACTGTGTCTCAGGGCTTCTTAATATTTAAAAACCTATTAATGTGTCATACTCACTTAACGGTTAGAAACTCAGCTAACTGAAGATATTAACCATTTTTACCGAAACAAAGCATGAAGCGTCTAAGCGCCCTGAGCGAAAAAATGCTGACGCACTTAGCACAGAACTCAAGGTCAAAATACCATTACTTATCGTAACTGCACAGATTCTATAGGTATTGGTATCATCACTGAGCGATCAGAATTCGCGACATCACAATACGTGCTACATACAAAAAAGAAAAGTTAGATTTGTATTAAATGTATTATTATTTGTTTTTTGTATTGGCCAAAGTCGAGTCAAGACGGACTCACTTCAACACTAAGTCACACAGAGCAGAGCCTACTTATAGTGTTTCATCTTCATGGTGGTCTTTGCCGTTTAGAGCTTCTGCCCATTTCCCCACTACATGTGTGAGTCTCTTCAAAGCAAAGCCCACAGAGAGCAGCAGGTATGGGGAGCAGGAAGACCAACAGACGGGGGTTGTTCCAGCCATCCATAACTGACACACAATATACCATCCACAGCAAAAAGATCCAGATGATCAGTGGAAGTAGGAGGCTGTGGCGCAGTGGATTAGAGCGTTGGTGTTCGGATCAGGTTCAAACCCCACTGCAGTCAGCATGTCGTTGTGTCCCTGAGACACTTCACCCCAAATTGCTCCTGTGGGGATTGCTCACAGTATTGAGTATGTAAGTCGCTTTGGATAAAAGCGTCTAACATGTAATAAAAGTGTAATTAATCCGATGGGAACTATTTCCCTGCTTCCAATCTTCATAGCTGTCTATAAGATGACTGGGAAGTAGATGATTGCATGACAAGAATTCTAAATATAGGCCTTGTATGTATCTCCTGATTCATATGTGGAGCACACATGAAGGAGACCGCATGCAGGGATTAATGATTGTCAGATTCGAAGAGATGGGGGGAAAACGTGAGAAGAGAGTGTGTTGGCTTTCTTGTCAGAGCTGCACAGAAAATGTACAAATTGACAGTTTATTTTCTCTTGGCTCTGTGATTAATCCAATACTTTTAACCAGTCGATTCCAGGCAGCTAAGATCTCTGGCAAGCACACACACACACACACACACACACACACACACACACACACACACACACACACACACACACACACACACACACACACACACACACACACACACACACACACACACACACACACACACACACACACACACACACACACCACACACACACACACACACACACACACACACACACACACACACACACACACACACACACACACACACACACACACACACACACACACACACACACACACACACACACACACACACACACACACACACACACCCACACACACACACACACACACACACACACACACACACACACACACACACACACACACACACACACCACACACACACACACACACACACACACACACACACACACACACACACACACACACACACACACACACACCTGATTATAGACAGATGGGCTAACTACCACACTGTCAAAGGAGATCCCTCTCCTTCTGCCATCAGACAGACCTAATCCACTAGTCAGCTTGCAACACACACACACACACACACACACACACACTCCACTGAAGCTACCCGCAGAGGTGCCATCATTACTTTATATACGACTACAGAAAACTCAAAGAAGTCTGATACACAAACAAATGCAGTATTTCAGTCTTAAATTGCATATTTAAAGCGGTATTTTTCTAGTTTTATAACACACCATGCGACAGTAGCACACAAGCAGCGAGAGAGAAATTGCACAAAGTTATTGCGTAACAATAAGCTGATGACTGAGCCGTATTTACATTTGAATCCCATCCACAGCTTCTGCAGCTCGCACTAATGGTGAGTGGCCACTCACCATTAGTCTCATTCCAGCACACCGGAGCCTGAACACATCTCTCTCTGCACAGCGCTACTCTAGCTGTGGCAGAGCTTGGTGAAATGTAGAATTGTTGTACTTTGTCTAGTCATTCTTCATAGACTCTGCTAATTCTAATTTCAAAAAGGCATATACAACATAAGGTTATACAGACATTAAAAGGCAGGCAGTGGGTGTCAGAGGGAGGCGTGAAGGCTATATGTTGATAAGTGACCTTTTTCATGTGGAAATTACATGTGCTGAGGGAGAATTAACCACGTCTGCCTGTGGTCAGGATACATAAATACATACATAATACAGTCAAACATTGTGAAAAAATGTTCTACAATAAGAGTGACATCAACTGCGTGAAATACCTTACAAATATTGGTATGAAATATTGATGTGATATTTGACTACTATGGGATAACTTTCACATTTGGGGCGGTGGTGGCGAAGTCGATAGGCACTTGGCTTGGCAACTGGAAGGTCACCAGTTCAAGTCCCGGCAAGACCAAGTGCTACGAGGTGGCAAGGCACCACACTGCTCCCCGGGCGCCGTTCAAAATGGCAGCACACTGCTCCGAACACTAGGATGAGTCAAATGCAGAGAAACAATTTCCCCACGGGGGATTAATAAAGTATATCAAAAGAAATGTGGCATCTTAAATAATAAGGTAATATTTTAGCATGGTTTGAAAAACAGATGTCCATTATGCAATTGGAGTTTAAGTTATCATAGGTGTTAAGAGGAACTTGGTGAGTTTGTGATGGATTGGTCACCAATAGCATTATGGTTAAGTGTTACAGCAAGAACAAACTCGTTAAGAATACACACAAGGTTGTGACTTCTCCTGTTGATCACTCTTTATTTTCTTTCTTTCTTCATTTGTATCGGTATCTAATCGGTGTTCGGTATGTCCCGTCGTAAGTGTACGTTTTTGTATTGTATGTTCTCACGATCTTTATTTGAAATAAATAAAAAAATGTATACAATATTGGAAAAAAAGTTGAATTTCAATTTGTGCAAAGGCCATAATCTGAAAAGTATATGTTTTGGATTTATTCATTTTAGTTGGTAAAATGCAAATTAATTAACATGAGCACTTGAGTCCATCATGTAAGTGTGCCAGATTAAGCCATAAATACTTATTTTTAAATCAGCAGTCATTGGCATATTGATGGCATTAGAAGAAAACATACAAATGTTTTTATTTGGTCATTTGATTTATTTATATACTGCATTGTCTTGTTTATGTCTCTGACCCCCAGTTTCCACTGGGTCCGTCTGCGCCGCGCTGCGCCGCGGTTTTGGTCCGACCTCTTCTAGCGCCATAACCCACCGGACGCGTCCCAGAAGCGTTTCAGAAGCGTAGCGTCGTGCGTGCAGGCTCGCAGTTTTGTTATTGATTCGGGCATCCTGGACATTTGTACTTCTACAAGAAAGTAAGTAGGCTACGTAGTTAAATGTTTTATTTTTGTGTCTGTTTAAATTGTGTTTATTGAATGGCTCTGTACTGTAGGCCTACCTACAAGTATTAATTAACTTTAAAACATTAATATGTAGTTGTTACCTTCCACTCCACAAACTGCAGCGACTAAAAACCAGGCCTTGTCCTTTCTGATGTTGTCCTTGTAGTAAGCATCGGTTACATCATATAAAAATAGTGTGTTTTTCCACTTCCATGATGAAAACCTCGTCGTCCATTGTGCGTATCGTAGTGGAGGGGTTGTGATGAAGGAGGGGGGTCTGCTAAATTAGTATATGTGGGGGATGGGCCTGGCCCGGATGCTCACCTTTCCACTTCCTGCGAGGGGGGGGCTGCCTGCCCGACCTTATGTTACGGCTGCGCCGCGGCAAAAATAGGATTCATCCTAATTTTAGAGAAGCGCTGCGCCGAGCCGCTTCTGGGACGCGTCTGGGACGCGTCTGAGCCGTAACGCGGCGCGTGTGGTGGAATAGCACCCATTGACTAGAGTGGCCGCGATTCTTACGACCACCGCGGCGCAACCGTAACACGGCGCAGCGCGGCGCAGACGGACCCGGTGGAAACTGGGGGTTATGCTGCTGGTGTTATGTATTGTGTATCTTGTTTTTTATGTGTTTGTACGGTGACCTTGAGAGCCTTGAAAGGCACCTATATAAAAATAAATGAATTATTAGTATTATTATAAGCACAGAAAAAGCACATGTGCATAATTAAAACATAAGCAGCACATTTTAAAGCACGTATGTCCAATTAAAAGCCTCATACAAACCCATGAACACACAAAAGCACATACATAAGCACAGATAAGAGCTAATAGGCACAGACGACTCGAAAGATAATAGTATAGCCTAGTAATGACAGTAGG